AACTTGTAAAGTACTTAATGAAAATGAACTTAATTATAGTGTTTTGGAAAGCTCCCGAGGTAAGCTACAAGAATACGTAATGAAAAATGGGGAGTTCCATTTAAAAAATTCAAAGTGACCTTGCCCTGACCTTGACAACGCCACCCAAAATCAAACCAATGGCATCATTTTATGTCCCCCTCAAAGTCCTAAAACTTTTGTCTGAAACATTTTTCCTTAAAATGCACTGTTCAAGAGATATTTGAGGTGATAGATTAAAATGGGACACCCTGTATAATGAATAGAAAGATTTGATCAATAAATAGAAAATGAAAAAATATAAAATTACGGAAGGATATAGTATAATCTTTAAGTTTTAAATAGCATATAACGAAGTATATAAAATAACAGTAATTTATTAAAAAATGTTTTGATTCAATTACTAATTAGTACCTGACAATATTTTTCTCATACACTTTTCGATATTGAAAATGATCCCGTAAATTATATTTCACGAAAACATAAGGTTACTAAAATAATTGAAATGTAGTGTGCAAAACATGGCTTTTCTGCGAAATATTTTGTCTCGGAAGAAAGGTAAATTTTATATCAAAATTCCAATCAAAAGGTATGAATGATTTTGTTTATCCATAAAATGTTTTTTTCTTTACTTCCCTGCCTTATTTTTAAAGCATGTTATGAAAGATTTAAGTAGTTTTTTTAAGATAACAAATTTTTTTCGTCTATGACGATAAAGTCATGTATACTTATAACTTCCTAGTTTGTAATTATTGACGGTGTAACTTATAATTATAAATTCCATTTAATGTACACGCATTCACGCGCGCAGAGTAATTCATTGGTAATCTCGAAAAAAAAACGCATTTTCGAAGAATGTTTTATGTTTGTGTATCGACAGCCGATAGCAGAAATTATATACAGGGTGTTTGGCGACTACCGCATTTTTTGTCATACGTGGGTAGAACAGCCTATACTGAATCAAAAAGTCCTGTACCATTTTGAGGTGTCAGCAATAGTTAACGAGATATTAACGTTTAAAAGATAGCCAAATACGCGCGTCCGCCCGACCTACTATTGCACTATTGCCGAAGGCACAGCCCACCGAGCGCACGGCGCGCGGCCTGCGAGGAGCGGGGATGGCCTAGTAGGCGCGCCGCGCCGTTCGAGCTTAGAGGCTCGCGGCGGTGAGCGGGGCGCTTGCCCCACTCCCCGCGCGCCAAGCTATCGATGGCGAATATTCGGCGCTTTG